AAAGGAAAACATACACACACACAAAAATGCTTAAAAAAAAGAAAGAGAGAAAGAAAAGTAACGCTTAGAGAGAGTGATGTATATTGTTGTTAATAATGGTGATAATTTAGAAAATAATAATAAACTAAAATGTAAAAAATAGAGAAACTACTGGGAGATAACAGAAGCAGAGAATAGATTCTGAAATAACGGTCAGCAAAAAATTAAGGGAGAGAATAAGAATAGGATAATAGTTCAAAATGAGAAAACAAAAAGACAATAAAGAGAATAAGAGAAACTAACAATCAAACAAAAAGACAGGAAGACAAAAGGTTGGATAACAAAAGAACAAAAAAAAAAAGCAGAAAAAGAAAAAAGAGAAAGAAATAAAAGTTATGCCAATGGATCAAGAGGAGAGAGAGAGATATAGCCCAGGCAGTGAGGGAGTCCAGTAAGAGATTTGGTCGAAGCTATAGAGGAAAGCAGTAACCTTGGTTATAATGATAAAGTCCCAGTCATTAAGCAGGGATATCAAGAAAGTTTTGATAGTAGANTTAATCAGGGATATCAAGAAAGTTTTGATAGTAGAAGCAAGGATAAAACAAAACAAAGCAAATAACCAAAACAAAACTAAAAACAAGCTAAGCAAGACAAAATCTTTTTATAAAAAAAAGAGAAAAAATTTAGTTAAAAAATGTTTTTAAAAAAAGAATTAAAAGAAATTATTATAAAATTTTAAAAAGAAGAAAAAACAAATTTTCTCCACTTTCTCTTCTTCCTAAGGAAAAAAGAGAAAACACACACACACACACACACACACACACACAACAAAAAATACAAACCAAAACCAGAAAAACAGAAGAAAAAAAGAGAGTCAATCAGGTGAGTTTCTTCTGGGTAACTTATGTTGTCTGAGGGTCACTGTTTTGTATGCTGATTTCAGTTCTCCTAGGATGTACTTGTGTATAACCCAATGTGAGTTGCTGTATAGATTTGGCTCTGGTGTCCTTAGGTAGATGGTTGATCTGAGGCTCTTTGTGGAACACCTCCTCTTGTCAGCTTTTTTGCAACCTCGTAGTTGCCTGGTCTTACTCCAGTATCTTCTGTAGAGTCTTTAGGTTGCAGGGTGGCTAGTGTAGCTCAGGGTATAACTCCCCTTACAGGTTTTGCTGTCAGGCGCTCACTCTGTGGGAGTTAGTCTCTGCTCCACCGCCAGCTCCTCAGTCCCTACCTTGTCCTCTGATTCTAGTTCTCCTTGCTCTGACCTGCTGCAGCTTCAGATTGATTTCAGCCTGTTACCTTTTCTGTATGGGCAATTTCAGCAGCCAGGCTCGGTGGGTTCAATTAAAAACACATTCTGGTGAGCCCTTTGCCTGCCCAGCCCCCAGCAGGGGTTTTTAGCTTTTCCTCCAGTTCCCAAACAGTCCCTGAGAGTCTTATTCTAGTAACGTTCTTCCGTGAGCTACTTTCCCTTCCCCCTCAGGACTGTGCCCTGCAGGTGTGTCTGCGGCTTCAGTGAGCTGGACCTGCCTCTTTCCTGTTGGGGCGGTGCTCCTGGCTGCTGGAGAGGCCGGTGGGCTCCGCCCCTCCCTGCTCAGCTCTGGTTGGCTGGTTGCACCAGGCCCGCCCCTCAGACCATCTACTGTGCAAATCCCAATCCCAGCCTCCCGTGGTCTGTCTGCACAGTGCACGCAGGGAAGGTGGGAGCCAGTTCCTCTATCAAACTCACAAACGCACAAAGCAACACACAGGCTGAGAGTCTGCCCTGCAAGGTCCTGCCAACTGTTCACCAAGGTACCCAGCGGGAAGGGACTGAAGGCTTCAAGCAGGTCTCAGCTAAGCTGGGGCAGCTTCACACACCTCCACAGTGCCCCTCAGGGCTGGTCACAGATCCCAGCCTCTCCTCACCAGGAGCTCAGGGTGGGAGGGCTCGTCCCCTCCCCCATGGCACACAGATTCAGTGCTTTCTGGGGCTCAACATAATGCCCCACAGGGAGGCAGAGGGTCCCCGTGTGCGGCTGCTCAGCATAGTCCTCTGGTCCCTTACCACTTGGGTGCTACAGATCTTGGGACAGCCTTCCCTATTGTTGGCACCTGAGCATTAGACGCTGGTTGCAGCTGCCATTAGAAGCTTTGTTTCACTAGGAAGGCACCATCCACCATTAGGGGCTTTGTTGACTAGGAAGCCTGTTCTGGGCTCCAAGCCCAGAGGCTTGGAGGCTGCAAACCTCCCTCCCCTCGGGAGTGCAGATGGCATCCAAAAGCAGGGATCCTACACCCGGAGCAACGAGAGGGAAGGAGTGCCCCGGGCACAGGGCAGAGGGACCCAGGGAAGTGGTGAGTCCCGAAGGAGTAGGCGCTTCCTAGGCAACAAAGCCCCTGGGCTGCAATGGGGAGTGGGAAAATGAGCTTCCTTTTCCCAGAGGGACATTTCCTCTGCCCCTCTTACACTCCAGGCCATAGTGTGAGGACTTCAGCCATAGTTATCCACCACTACCACACTCACTGAAGCTGCAGTGGTGTCAAATTGTGACTGCGACCACTGTCCCTGTCCTTCCCCTTTCCTGTTTTCCCTAACTTGTTACAATAAGTCCACTTTCAGATGCAGATGTAAGTATCTTTCAGGCATGTTTGTGCTGAACTGGGGATCTGTTGTGTTATAGTTGTCCAACTTGTAGATTCAAGGGGAGAAATAAAGGAGTCTTCACTTTGCCATGATACTGACATCACTCCCTTATGATTTTCTTAATAACATTTTTTCTCTAGCTTACTTTTTTGTAAGAATACAGTATATAATACATATAGCACAAAAAATACATGCCAATTGACTGTTATCAGTAAGGCTTCTGGTCAACAGTAGGCTATCAGTAGTTAAGTTTTGGGGGAGTGAAAGTTATATGTGGATTTTTCACTGCATGGGGATTAGTGCCTCCTAACCCCAGCATGTTCAAGGGTCAGCTGTATTTACAAACTAAATCATGAGCATGCTTCTGTGATTCCCATTACTTACAGCATAGTCACTGGACTTGCAATTATTCTTATTTTGAAGAAGAGGAATAAAATACTTGCTGATATTTGAAAAGGAGAATTGAAAATAAATACCATTTCTGCCTTTACAATGTGACCCCAAATGCATTTCTAAACACACAATAGCTGAAGAATGATGAGCATGAATACACAATGCTTGCCCATAAAGAGCTTCCTTCCTGGTAGAGAGACAAGTAAACAATGTGGTGAAAAAATTGGTAACTGATCATTGATGAGCACAATTTATGATGGGAGCCCAGAGAATAGGCACCTAATCTTGTTTAGGAATGTCTAGAATGAGTTGCTAAGGGAATAAATGAGAAGGAAGGCAAGTTGGATCAGCCCAGAAGCCTTCCTGAGTACCCCCAGGACCTGATGGAGAGATGTCATTCCTTGGTTCTCCAGCAGCTCATCAAACTGATAGCACAGTGACCCTTACTGGTTTACTTGTTCATCCTCCCTCACAAACTGGTAAGCTTCTTTAAGGCAAAACACTGTGTTGTCACTGTTATCTACACTGCCTACCCAGTAGCATCTGATAAGTGAATATATGAAAGTTTTCAGGATGATGACTCCTACTCTAAGATGGACTAATGTTTAAGGACAATATTTTATGTCAGCGATTTTCAACTGGTATGCCTCAAGAATTTTTAAAACATGCAATACCTGACTAGTCAGAGGCACTGAACTCTTTTCCCTTAGACTGTCAAATAAATAAATGACAACAGCAACACAACAATAGCTGTCTGGTGTGAATGAATCAAAATTATACCTTTTCTTTTTGTCATATCAGCAAAAAAAAAATTTTTTTGGTGTGCCACAGAATTTTAGTAGTTTATCTAAGATGAAAAAGGTTGAAAATCATTGTTTTATGTCTATACCATGATATATTAAAAATCTCTACCTGTTAGTGTTTGAAATGCTAGTACCAAATACTAGATGTAAAAACAGGGTCAGTCACCATGGGAGATGCAAAGACAAACAAGACACAATCACTGTTCTCCATAAACTTACACCTTCAACTGGAGCTTTCTTAATTCCCGCCTTTATCTATCTGACTCAGAATATCTGTTTCATTTGCTTAAATTTTGGAATTCCACAAAATATTTCTTTTGAATAAAGAGCTCCATTTCTTTTTTTTTTTAAAGAAAAACCTTTAAAAAATGCTTATTTTTCTTTTTAAAATTTTTTATTGATTAATTTTAGAGAAAGAGAGGAAGAGAGAAAAAAGCATTGATTTGTTGTTCCACTTACTGATGCATTCATTGGTTGATTCTTGTATGTGTCCTGACTACTGGGGATTGAACCTTAACCTTGGCATATTGGGATGATGCTCCAGCCAACTGAGCAACCCGGCCAGGGCTCAGCTGAGCTGTATCTCAATTGAGTTGTTTGCACGCACCCCAAATGGGGGATTCCCGTTGACATTGTTAATTGGTGCCAATGACCATAGGCTGACAGTNAAAAAAAAAAAAAAAAAAAAAAAAGAAAGGAAAACCTCGATCAAGTTATTAAAAAGACAGACTAAGTTTTTTTCTCAAAATTGTTACATATTCCACCCTTTATGTTAAGGAATGGAAGGAAATTTAAATGGAGGGAATTGAAAATTTATATTTTTAGAGCTCTTGGATTTCATTGTAGTTTTTCCTTACTAGCCTTCTTTAGCACTTTTCCAATAGGTAATATATAGCAATATACAGATGTTTACAATAAAATTGTTCATGCTTTCCTGTTTACTGCAGAATCATTTAATATTTGCTATTCAGAAAAAAAAGCTTCTGTGCATATCCTCTCTAAAATAACAGCAAAGTATCTTCAAGATTCTATATTTAATGCCTATCATCCCCAAATGCTTAATTTAAAACCATTACCTATAACATATTGGACTTTAAAAGCATACTATTTTCAAAACAAGATGGTTTAAGATCATCCTAAGAACCCATGTGCTGTGAATCCTGCTATGAGGTTTGCAGGGGAAAATGAGCCAAAAGGCATGAAGGTACAGTATTCTTTATTATAAATAATCAGATAACAGTACAAGTGTGCATTTGAAGGATAGTTGAAACCTAGGTATTATAATAAAAAACATGACTTAAATAGAAGTAGTTTTTTTTGTGTTTTACATTAATTTGAACTTATCCTTAACATATGCCAGGATCACCTAATCTTGAAAGCTGTTAAATTATAACAGGGAAAGACAAAATTTGGTATGCATGTTATATTTTGCTTTATTTACTAAATATACATAACAAATATTCAGGACACGTTAAAGTTAAGCAGGTGCTTAAAGTCTAGCAAGTGATATTTATAAAATGCTTGTGTTTTTGTTATAGGGTGTTCAGTTCCTTAGAAGACAATGAAAAGGGAATTCTAAATGCTAGGTTGTATCCCAGCTTTTCCTGACTTATATTGAGTGTAAAAAAACCCAAAACATACAGTCAGTGTGTTGAACAGTGACATCATTATAGTTCCAAAGCACTAGAAGACATTAAAAGATCATCTAACTAACACTTTTTACATCTCAATTTTTTTTAACAAGAAACCCCTTCCCCCCCAAACAAACAAACAAACAAACAAACAAAAACAGGCTGAAACAACAGGATAAAGTTCTGGGTCTTGTGAGCCAAAATGTTATTATTCTCTATTGCGCAACCCTTGTCCATGGCAATGCTGAACATGTTATGTTTAGCATCAGTGATGCATTCACTGGCTTAGCATGTCTACTTTGCTAGTTATCCTATAAAAGAATGCTATTACATTTTTTTGTACTGTCTACCTAAAGGAATTAATGCAAATGAGCACATTTGTAAGTCTAAAATAAAATACCGTACTACAGCTTTTGACAACTATTACCAGAAAATAATTTTAAAGGCTGATTAAAATGTGACTATGTTACAATGACTGAAGGGTTAACTTCTCATCAATTGTAAATTTTCTAAATTTCACACATATCCTAATAAAAGCTTTTGGTGAGACATGACTGATGATGATCCATATGTATCATTTTAATAATTTATTTTTCAAATAAATAATTTAGGTTCACTGGAATATTTTGTCCTGGTTTCCCAAAGCTATATGAAAATAAAAGTTTTTAAAATGTTGTTTACAAATAAGCAGTTCTGATTAATTCTGTAAAGGTATAAGATTATCAAAGGATAATTATGATCAAGAAAGCTATGTTTGATCCCTGGATCAAAAACCATGTGGTGTACTTGCTGCTCTCTCATGGAATGATACTCATCTGAGGAAGATTCACTATATTAATGCCCTTTCCAAGAAAAAAGGGAGATGGAAAATTAATAGAAAATAGAAGCAACAGGAGGAGAAAAAATACTTTGAGACATAGAAGAAAAGTAGCATTTATCCAAAGAAGCCTTCATCCATTACCTGATTGCTCAGAAGAGAAGGGAAATAAGTTTCAAAAAAAGATAATTAAGAAATCAATACATTTTCTTAAGCTAAGAAAGATGGCACATTTTGCAAGTTCTGAAACATGAAGATGTCTACACAAACAGATTTGCTATCAGACTCTCAGTCCCAGAGGGCTGGGCTGTCTCTTGTTTACATTTGTTCCACAGCACCTAACATTGTACCTGACACATGCAGGTGCACAATACATAGTTGATGAAACAATAAACTACAGGGTTTTCTAAACACTAAATGGGCCACCTAGTCTACAAGTAAAATGTAATATTTATTATCTGTTATATATATGAAAGCTTATATCAGATAATACTAGTCATTATAAGAGGTGACAGTAGTAGCTCACTCATATTTTTTTCACATGATCATTTCTACCTTGAATACAATTTAATGAGAAGCAACAACTGGGTGCACTAATGCTAGAAAGAGTTGAGATAGAATGTATAAATGAAGAAACCTCTTGGATTACTGAAGTTACCATCTGTTACAAGCATAATTACCTTCTTAAATTTTACATTTTTAAGAAGTGGAAAATATTTTTTCAAGCAATGCAGTGTTTAGTGGGTATGAGAGTGCAGTACCTAGAAATTTGGGGGATTTTCCTCTTTATTATCCAAGGGTAAATAAAAACAGGTTTTTAATACTGTGTGTTTTTTAAATGTACCACTGTTCCCCAGAAATTATAGAGATTATGAAATCATTGTCACTTTACTTAGAAAGTTATTTCCAGGTATGAGGCTTTAGCTTTATAAGAAGTTACCAAATTTGACCAGTAGATAATTTATTCAACAGAGACACTAAGTTAAATAACTCATAAATTTGATCCCAGCAATGTGTCTTAATTTTCCCCAAAGTCTTCACCATTGTTTTAGTAACCTATAAATAGTTAATATTTGCCAACAGGCAAGGAAAGGGCCCTCAAGTAGAGGCTTTTAATGTGGGAATGTGAGAAGGTATAAGTAAACATATGATGCTTTTGCCCAACCCTCATTTTTTACCTGTTTCTTCCTTACACAGGACCTACACACATGATCTTGGAGATCCCTGTACAAACTCAGAAGTCTTCAGGACTGCCTGCATGAACAGGAGCCTCATTTCCAATGTGGAAAGCAGGAGTCTCCATGGGTGATTTTGAGACTAAGTTCTGGTCTTACAGTTTGGGAATATAGCTCATTTCATGCTATTTTCATATTTATCTTGCCACATCAGCCTCATTTTTTTATAGATGTAGATTATAAGGCAACATGACTTCAGCTTTACAGCTTGTTTCTTTTCCAATCACAGTTTAAATTTGTTTAAAATGAACCGTTAATATGCGCACAATTGTCCACCTATAAGTATTTCAACTTCAGAAATAAAGCTTATGTGTTTTATCTTACATAATTGATTATACAAGCTTGATTTTTTTTCTTGCCAATAGCACTAAAAGTGAAATCATTTAAATTATATGGGTTTGGTTGCCTCATTTTGTCTAAAAGTGTTATTTACTCTAATGCTGCTAGTACTCGACTTTTACTATATAAACAGTTTTAGTATTTTTCTGGTAGGCCATGCAACATGACTTATAATAACTTGGCTGACTAAAGATGCGTTTTATTCTGCCAACACTCTTCAAATACTATTGACAGAGTTGCCTCTGTTTGTTTCCTCCCACAGAAGAAGCTGCTGCTTCTTACATCATAGTCATGAAAAATCTACTTTCCTAATTGTATTGTACTGGCATCAGGTTAACTAGAAAGCACAAAATAAATGGTGACAAAATAGATGAATAGTATATATTATATGTATTTACACATATACTTAGACACTTTAGTTAATTGCAAATCTGAAATGATATAAGCCACTGCCTGCAACAGCATCAATTCTATAGAAACATGGATTAAGACCTCTTAAGACACTGAAGAAATTGGGTTATGTGGAGAGCCCATTTGAGTCAGAACTTTGTCCAGCCACTGCAGTGGACCATGAAGATGAATCTCAATCCAGCAGGGGGTGCTCGTGACATCCTGGCGATGGTACTCAGCTCCCCAACCCTGAAAAGCAAGAGTGGAGCCAAGAGTGAGTGTCAGACTTTACAGTCAGCCTCCAGAGGCACAAGACAGAGCTCTGTGCACACCTAGCACACACACAGAATAGCTCCTGAGACCTTAGAGAACATAAACTCCACCTTCCTGTAAGTACTTTTGCATCAATCAGATACTCTAAGATGAGTCCAAATCAATGCTTCTCTTTGAGTTCACAACTAAATACATGGACCTAGACATGGTTGGGCTCCAGTCACATCAGAAACACTGACAAATCATTATCCCTTCTACAAGGAAAGTAATTTGGCCTTACATTCACCCCTTTAAGACTAAAGACAGTGTTTTGCACAAAATGGTAGCTACATACCAAAGATGGATCTGAAACTTGTAAAGAAAGAACTAGAGGGTGTTCTTGATTTTTCAGGATTGATTAACAAAGTTTGTTCCTCCTCTCTCTCTGCTCACTTTTTGCAATTTCTTGTTTATTACCATTTATAGAAGAGCCAGCGAATAAATAAATAGATAAATAAGTTTGTATGTTTTTATCTGCATGAGAAGTTATTTTTAAAATGAGGAGAGATCTAGTCAAGCAAATTAGTTTTGTTATTGGGAACAATGATTCTCTATAGAGTTATTTAAAACTTGGATTTCAAACGCCATGCTGCCTGATCACACTTTACATTTATGACCAGAAACTTCAAGTGGACCTTTGATGCTACTTGGAAATCATAGCACACTCCCCCAGTCCATTTACTCTCCCATTTCCCCCACTCCTTCACCTACTCCCCCCAGCATGCTTACAACAGATTTTCTTCTTTCCTAGTTTAATGAGAGAAATGAAGCAATCAGAAGAGAATTTCCACAGCACCTGTACCCAAAGATCTTACTATAGATTATCTACGTTTCCAAATAAGCCATCCACTTGTGCATGATTCACTTGTGCATAAAACTCACTCACCTTTCTGGGGACAGCATTCCAGAAGCTCTCCACATTCTCTCCTGCAAACTTTTTCTTTCTATTGGATCATTCCCATCAAAGTACAAACATGCTGAAATATCACCCGTCTTCAAAATACTTCTCTTGGCCTGACAACCACCACAGATTACTGTCCTATATCTTTGATCCCCTTTCTAGGAAAAGCTTTAAAAAAGAGTCATCTGCACTGGCTGTCAATTCCTCTTCTTCCATTCTCCCTTAAATGCATTCTAATAAGCACTTCACCTCAGCATTTCAACAATATTTTTCCTGTCAAGATAGATAAAACCCTTTATATTGCTCAAATTAATGGTCAGCTTTCAGTCTTCATGTCACTTGGGCAGTACTTGCTTTAGTTCATCCCCTCTCCTCCTCAATGTACTTTCTACTTTGGCTTACAAAGGATCTTTCTTTCTTGGTTTTACTACTACTTTGCTGGTTGCACATTCTAAGTTTTCTTTGCTGGTTCTTTCTATTCTCCACTATATTTTAACATTGAAGTGTCCCAGGACCCCATCCTGGAACCCCTTATCTTCTCTGTTTAAACTCAGACTGTTGGTGATCTCATCCAGGCTCATGGAGTTCAATTCTGTCCATATGCTGACAATTCCCAAATTTACATATCCACCCCAGCATTCTCTTTGCAAGTCCAGACTAACTTGTACATCTAACTGCCTACTCAGTATCTGCTTGGATGTGTGACAAACATCTCAAAGTTATTATCACTAAAATGGAACTCTTAGTCTTATGTCCAAACCTGAGCCACCAGCATCTTCTCCATCTTGGTTGAAGGCAACTTCCTCTAATTTCTCTCTTTTTCTCATACCACACATCAAATCGACCTTCACATTCAGATCCTTCCTCTTCTCACCACTTCCATTGGAACTCTCCTAGTGGGAGCAACCATCCTCTCTCATCTGAATATTGCTATAGCCTCCTAACTGGTCCCCCTACTTCCAACCATGCCTGTATAATATGTGTCCTCCACACAGCAGCCAGAAGGATCCTTTAAAAGCCTAAATCAGCCCGGCCAGGTGTGGCTCAGCGGTTGAGCTTCGACCTAGGATCCAGGCCATCAGGGTTTGATTCCCGGTCAGGGCACATGCCTCAGTTGTGGGCTTGATCAATGACTCTCTCATCATTGATGTTTCTATCTCTCTCTCTCCCTCTCCTTTCCTCTCTCTGAAATCAATAAAGATATATTAAAAAAAAAAAAAAAGCCTAAATCAGATCATGAAAATCCTCTGCTCAAATCCCTGCAATGGATCCCCTTCTCTTTAGAGTAAAAGCCAAAACCCTCGCAGTGGCTTACAAAGCACTGATCTGGTTCTGTTACTGTTCTGATCTCACCTGCCCCTCACTCATTACGCTCCAGTCACATCAGTCTCCTTGCTTCTACAAATTCCTAGGCATGTTCTTGCTTCTTGCTGTAGGGCTTGCCCTTCCCTGTGTGTCTACTGCTCTTCCCCCAGATATCCTTATGATTAACTCTCTTGTGTCATTCAAGTCTTTGCTCATATTTCATCTCTTCAGTGAGACCTCCCCTGACCACCTTGTTCAAACTTGCAATCTACCCCTTCCCCAGCACTCCAATTTCCTTTACCTTGCTCTACATTTTCTCTTTACACTCAAATTCTTTATTATACTTGTTTATTGTCTGCCTCTCCTTCTACAATATTGACTTTATGAGGGCAGAGGTCTCTGTGTAATCATTGATGTATTCCAATTCCTAGAATGGTGCCTGGCCTGGCACATGATAGGTGCTCAACAAATATTTGTTGACTGATGAAATGAGTTTTAGGATTAGTAAAAATTAGAGCTGAAAGAGACCTTAAATATGATCTAGTCTATCACCCTCCAATAGTAGTCACTAGTGTTTAGTCATCTATAATTTATTTCAATTTTATTTTTTAAAAATTCTAATACTGTGTTTTACTCAACCCAGTATATCCAAAATATTATATCAATATGTAATCAATATGAAATTATTAATGAAATATTTTATATTCTTTTTGTTTGTACTGTCTTTTCCCCCCGTTTTATTGAGATATAATTGATATACAACATTGTATCAGTTTTAGGTATACAACATAATGATTTGGTATATGTATATACTGCAAAATGATTACCACAATAAGTTTAGTTAAGATCCATCACCCCCCATCCCTTTTTTTTCATCTGATGAGAGCTTTTAAATTCTTTTAAACTGATCATCTGCAGTTATATTTGCTAAGGATTTTTTTAAAAGTCCCTGCAATATTAGTAATAGTTTGTTTTCTGTGAATTGTGCAGCTTTATGATTTAAATGTTGAATATCTAATAAATATGTCTAGTTGATTTTAGGAAAATCAGATTTCTATGCAAGTATATATTATAGTGAAATAATTACCTCTGAGATACTGGCATTTCATCCTAATTTTAAAAACAAAGAGCTGGAAAAATAACCGTTCAATTATTTATTTTTATTTTTATTTTTTAAAATATCTTTATTGATTTCAGAGAGAGGAAAGGAAAGGGAGAGAGAGAGAAAGAGAGAGAGAAACATCAACGATGAGAGAGTCATTGATCAGCTGTCTCCTGCACGCCCCCGACTGGGAATTGAACCCGCAACCCGGGCATGTGCCCTGACCGGGAATCGAACCCTGATCGCCTGGATCTTAGGTCTACACTCAACCACTGAGCCACGCCCAGCCAGGCTAACCGTTCAATTTAAATGATCATTTGTTAATGGCAATTTAATGCCCTCTGCTGAGTCTAAAGCACCAGAAATTAAAAAGAATTTCTAGGTGTTAATTTTTTTACAATGTAAAGATGTTTTTCACAGCTTACCAGTAAAACTGAATAAAACTGCTTTGTCATAACAAAAGAGAAATGGTTTCAAGAAGCCATTTTTTAAAATTGGAAACTGTATTCTTGATTTTTTTAAATTAGTAAAATTAAAAATACAATAAAAACAATTTAAGTACAGAAAAAAGGGACAATTCTTTTTCATGGTAATTATAAAGGACTAATAAAATTTACTTTGAAAAACACCTAGAACAAGCCATACCGATTCCTTGGATGGATATTTGAAAATGTGAAAATTGTGTCAATATACCCAGGTACTTTGATAAATAAGCTAACACCTTGAAATATTATAATTATTTGCAATCACTTTACAAGAGATGAAACAGTAGATGTTGAAACTGAAGCTTTTAACTTCAATGTGCAAATCCAGCTGTAACTTCCTTAGTTCTCCAACCTTCACATCAACTTTAATAAGATCTAATTTGAGAAATTTAATAAGTATTCATAAACAGAACATTACTACTCTCTCAGAATTACTCATACCCACCATGTTTCTAACCCAATTTGTTTATGCTTTTATGAAAGCACTTAATTTACAGTGTCATGTATTAGAGTCAGTTATGTTTTGTAGCTTATTTATAAATATTACCTCTTTCATTTGCCTGCATGCTTTCTAAGAGTTAGAAGAGTCTTTAATTTCATTCAAGCAAATTCATCAACATTTATTAAGTTACAATCGTGCTTGACAATTTGAGGGATGGAAATATCTCTGTAGCATTGCGTCTTATATAAGTATTACTGTCATTTTATCTTCTGCACTAAAATAAAATAACTACTTTAAGTTGTTTTTCCTTCAAAAGTGTTATCTTCAAGAATTTTATAATTGCTAAACGAGAGATTATACTCACAGAGGAGCTCTTCCTAAAAACAATTAAATAGACTTCCCAAAAAACCTGCTGTCTACTAGAACTGGCTGTGTAACTGCCATACCAACCAAAGAATGTCTTTTTTGTTTTTCATTTTCCATCTTACAATCTGGAAGCAAGCACTCCTTACCTTAACAAAACTCATCCGGATAGTGCACATCTTAGTTAACTCATAGACGACTTCAAATCCATGGTGAACTGACTGAGCAAGTAGCTGAGCAAAGAGCTGGTTGTTGAAGATCTTGAGGCTGCAACCACTGGGGATCTTGCAGACAGTGGCTGGGTGGAAACCATGTTGATAATTGCAGTTCCGGCTCTGGACAAAGATGCTGCTGTCACTCACACACTCAGCATAGACCTCTCCCCCAATGTAATATAAATGCACACCTACAAGGCAAAAACAGTCTTCAAACACCTGCAACATATTTAGCTTAGGTATAACACCATTCTCTTCTCATTGATCTTTGTAACCTCAACGGATGTGACTACCTACTGAGGTTAATTTTCATATCACCAATCACAGATTTATAAGATACGTGACCCAAATGTCAACTTGTTTTAATTACAATCTGTGCTTTTTCCATGAGTCCATTTAAAAGTGGATTGCAACCCATGTGTACAATCATTGCCAAGAACAAGTAAGTCAGCTCCTTCCATCATTTTCTCAATCTCACACCCATTTACTCTAAAAGTAAGCTCATAATACTAGATACAAAATGAATACATAATGGAGAAAACATCAAATAGTCCTTCAGGTACATATATAAATAAAAAAATTAAAACTGGACACAGGTAATGTGAAAAATGTTACTTAAGTGTATACATTAAACCTACTTCAGAGGTTGTCCATTCGTTGTCCAACAAAATCCATTCGTTGTCCAGTTTCACTTTCTCTCACATTCTTGGAATTAGAAGGCACTGCTCACACTAGTTTTTATTCCAAATTAAATTTGAGTTATTTCCCTTCAAATTTCTGGGTTTGGAATTAAATACCAGAACAAATTTTATTTTACCAACAATTATAAAGCCATTTCTCTTAACAAATACCTCAGAGACCTAATTCATTTTAAAGCTTATCACCTTCTACTGTAGATCATAGAAATAATGCTTATTTTTTACTTATAAAAATGAAATTCTTGCCACATTTTCAGATATAGACAATCAAATGTAGCTTATGTTGCTTTTGTTAGGGGCAAAAATATTAATCATGTTCTGTTAACCATAATTTTTAGCTATAGTTATAAGAAACGTTAATCATGCTCTATAAACTGTGATTGTTCTGTTCTGATTAAAGAAAGCACATTCTGACCTGGTTGAGAGTTGTATGCCCTAGGACATGGGAGTTAAATTTAGAATGTGGTCCATTCTCCAGTTCCCAGAGCTGCCTATCATCCTGGGAAGATTAACAGCCTTATTCCCAAAACAATGGAGTCCTGGAGGCACCCACCCTTTTCGACCTCCAGCCCTCATTGCCTGTAACCTGTTAGCATTATACCTTGCCTACTTCCCCATGCCTGTAATTCTTACTTTCCCGTGTAATCTTTGTCCTTCTACCAACCTAAGCAGCTGCCTTATGGGGGCCAGTAGAGCAGATTTTCATGGATGACCTCCTGCTCTCCCATATTGCCAGCAATATTGGAATAAACGCTCATATATGAGTCAATCTTGTCTCTGCTTAATTGGCTCAATTAGTGACAGGTCTCCTGAATCCATTCATTGTCCAGTTTCACTTTCTCTCACATTCTTGGAATTAGAAGGCATTGCTCACACTAGTTTTTAATCCAAATTAAATTTGAGTTATTTCCCTTCAAATTTCTGGGTTTGGAATTCAACATAAATTTATAGTAAGGGATTGGAGTTAGATAAAATGAAGAAGCTCTAGTCTAGTGGATATTAAATACCAGAACAAATTTTCTCCAACCTTTTAACGGAAATAAAATTCTCCACCACTAGGTGTCAACATAATTGTAAAATCAATCATCCTACAGTTACAAGGTATTTGTAGAAATGAACCGAAATATAATTACAGTGATATACTTTAGATTCCCTCAAAATAAAGTACATTTTTAACCCCCCTCCAGGGGTTCTCTGACCCAAGTTTGCATAATTTGCATTTAGGAAACATTTCTGAGACAGCTGCTCAGTTTCTTTGTCAGGTTCTAAAGAAGCACTTGAAACATTTTCTATGTGAATACCTTCCAACATATCTATTATTTCTTTTCCCCATCTTCTTTCCCTTAATCCAATTTTAGAAAAAAATAGTTTTTAGGATTATGTATTCCAACCATATCAGTCTGAAGAAACTGATCCAGCAGAGATAAAGCACAGCTCTTGATATGCAGGCCAAGTTTCCTCTCACGCTGCCCAGATCAGACTTGTTCCCTTCTCTTCTTTCAACCTTCCTCTCTTTTTTTTTCTCATATTCTTTATTCACTGTCCCTGAATGGCCTGGGGTCTGACACCCATGGCTCAGGCCCTGAGGGGTAGGCAGAAGGATGGTCCTAATTGGAAGGGACATAGTTACTTGGCTGGATATTATGGAGGGGCACCTCCAAACCCTGACTTCCTTGAACAACCTTGTGAATACCAGATGATAGGTCTGCCTCTGGGGTGCTTATGGTGTTTCAAAAGAGGGAGTAAGGTACTGAAAGAGGGGAGAGTGGGGCTGCTAAGTGTTTAGTATGTATTTGAATTGAATGACCTTCAAATATATTATTCTCCCAAACCTATTAAGGAGAATAGTAAGATTTGTTATCTGATGTGGATCTTTATTTAGGAGATAATTTTCAATCTTGTTTAGGTCTTATCTGAAACCACAGCCAGTAGGCAGAATAACAAAGCAGAGAAGAGAGTCGGCAGGTAGGCAGTAGTTTAGCATACTGAGCAAGAAAAGAAAGCAGAACCAATGGGATGGGGATGAGCACATGGAAGGCTGAGCCAGCTCTGAGCACCACAAGGATGAAATTCAACCCCAATGTGAAGGAGTCTGGCTTTGGCTAGAGACAGCAGCATCTAAAGAAGAGTCAAGTAGACACATGATTTTATTTGCAAACATATAATAGGCCAAAATAGTGGCTTCATATGTGTTCTTTTAATTGATTTTTTTAGAGAGAGGAAGTGAGAGGGAGAGAGAGATAAATCTATGTGAAAGAGAAACATCAATTGGCTGCCTCTGGAACTCACCCTGACCAGGGATCAAACCCACAACCTGTGCATGTGCCCCAACCAGGAATCGAGCTGGCGACATTTTGGTGCATGGGACAATGCTCAGCCAACTGAGCTGCACCAGCCAGGGCCAAAATAGTGCCTTTAAACCACATATATTAGATTCTAGATGGTCACAAAGAACAGTAAGCAATAAGGATAAATGCCCAAAGAAAGTGCAATCTGAGATGCCATGAGAACCAAGGCAGTATGGTCATCAGGCAAGTTCTACCCATACGTTGGGCTGCATCTTTCTTTTTCTTTTTTTCTCTTTTTTTCATATTTTGAAGCTTTATTTAAAAATCTCTCACTGTTCATTATCAAAGTTACAAGATTGCTTGCATACCAACAGACAGACTGTAAACATAGGAAATTTTCATTAAGGAAAGATGGGTTTACTGTAATTTGATCTTTTATAAAAAATTGCTGCAAGTTATTGATAACAGAATTTCTCTTCTACTTTCTTAAGTCTAATTCTCTTGAAAATTAAACCAATGTTTCCACTCCCTGAAGCTAAATTTCAACCATGGTCACCTTAGGAAATACCCCTGTTTATTTGTTAATCAGAAATACAAACTGAGTGGCACATATTTCCATTTTCTTCTTAGGCCAAAGGTTTTGGCTTCATTGTATTTTACAAGAAAACAAGACTTGCAGTGGTCCTGTAAAGTCTTTCCTGTCGCAGCTGAGGTTTAAAGATGGCAGTGGAGGAAAGCAGTGGTGATGCAAAGCAAGACCAGCCCCAGTGCCCTTATCAGACAGGGAATCTTTTTCCTGTTTGGCTTGTAGCAGGGTTTCTGGTCAGGTTGCCCCGCCCAAAACTGACTGAAGCAGAAAGGTGACAATCTATGGTAAATCCTATGTAAGGGCAATTCTGTTCAAGCAAATAGTCAGTCCTTCAATCTGTTGGTTGTGGGAATGATACTAATATGGAGAAAATTATCCGGGTAGCTCAGATGTTCACTCAGCCACTGTGGAGGTGTTTCCAACATTGGCTCAATTCCATGAATCATCACTTGATTCTTTTTTCCCCCATCTTGCAGGACAAACTTCTTTGAGGAAATCTCCTAATGTGTGCAATTGTCCATCTGTAGCCACAGGACAAAAAAGCTTCTGAATGAAAGTTGTTCAGTCGTTGTCTAATATATTCTAAAAAGGATGTAACGAAATCCATTTTCTTCTGCAGGATATTCCATGAGTTTCTGATTGATGGCCCAAAACTGGTCAAATCTATCATTATGTAATCCCATCCAGAGCTGCTTGTGATCTTTTTTCTGCATTTCATCGATTACTTGACTTTTGTGCTTTAGAGCATCAGCTTCTTTCACACAATACATAAAATGAGCTTCAACTGCGTCTTTAGATGGACAATGCAGAAGGTCCTTTTCTGGAAAACTCATTTCAGTGGTGTGCCTTCATGTTCAAACCATATCTCACTAATGTCTTCTTGTCTCATAACCTTCTGAAAGTGCTTCTTCACTTTGTCAGTTACCAATATCAAGTAACTTACTCTTGGCAAAAGCAAATAATATAGTTCTGCCTCTTGTTCAGTTATCTCATCCTGATACAAGGTGAGGCAAGTAGGAATTCGTCCAAACCACACATCTCGAAGCACATTTTTGTCACCTGTCATTCTTCCAGTGGTTAAAGCAGTACATATGGGCAAAATTCTTTTTTCAGCCAAAGTTAAACAGAAGCGCTGGCTCCTCCTCCGGCCTCCTGCACGGGTGAAGATGACCTGGGTCCTTCAGTGGTGCAGGGTGCTTCGGGCTGCATCTTTCTTTATCTGAGCTTTCCATTTGTGTGTGACTGATGCCCACCTTTTATGAGATTAGGGAGGTGGGGGTCCTGTGTTGTGCTTAATTAAGACCAGAGATATGTTGGGTTTGATCTGGGCCTGTTGAGTCTGACTGCTAGAGCGTTCCCTTTTCATCCTCTTCTGTAGCCTTGAATGACAGAGGAGAAGCTGGGAGGAGGGCAGGTTAATTAAGCTGATGAGAGGGTTCCAATGTTCTGGAATCTACTAATAGTCAGGAGAGGAAGTCTGTGTCCTTATGGGGAAGGAATCCTCTCTTGAAGGGGAAGGAGGGAAAATACCACCACAGAGAGTAATCTCATTACCCCAACCCTCTGTCCAGAGACTGAGGCATCTCCATTCTGCTTAGGAAAAAAAACCCTAAACT